GGTTTGTTTTTTTTTTTTTTTTTTTTAATTATTTTTTCTTTCAAAATTTTCTTTTATTTTTTTCAATATTTTTTTTTCTTTTTTTTGTTATCTTTTTTTTTTTTTCTCTTTTTCATTTTTCTTCCTTTCAACGCTGTTTCTTTTATTTTTTTTTATTCAATAGAAAATCTTTTTTCTTCTTTCTTTTTTTTTAATTTTTTCTTTTTTTTTTTCTTTCTTTCATTCTTTTTCTTTCCTTTCTTTTTTTTTTTTTTTTTTTTTTCTTTTCATTTCTTTTTCTTCTTTTATTTTTCCTTCTTTTTATTCTTTTTTTTTCTTTTTTTTCTTTCTTTTCTTTCTTTTTTCTTTTATTTTTTTTTTTTTTTTTTTCATTTCATTTTTTTTTTTTTTTTTTGTTTTTTTTTTTTTTTTTTTATTTTTTGTTTGTTTTTTAATTAAAAAAATATTTTTTTCTTTTCTGTTTCATTTCTTTAAATTTTTTCTTTCTGTTTTTTTTTTTTTTTTTTTTTTTTTTTTTTTTTCTTTTTTTTTTATTTTTTTATTTGTGTTAATTTTTTTTTTTTTTTTTTTTCTTTTTTCAAAACATTTTTTGTTTTTTTTTTTTTTAAAATTCAATCATTCTTTTCTTTTTTTTTTTTTTGTTGTTTTTTATCAAAAATTTCTTTCATTTTTTTTTTTGTTTTTAAAAAAATTCTTTCTTTCATTTTTTTTTTTTTTTCTTTTCATTTTTTTTTTTTAAAATTTTTCTTTCATTTCAAATTTCTTTTGCCTCTTTTTTTCTTTTTTTTTTCTTTTTTTTTTTTTTTTTTTTTTCAAATATTTTGTTCAAATATTTTTTCATTTTTTTTTTTTTCTTTTTTTGTTTTTTTTTTTTCTTTTTTCATATTTGTTTATTTTTTCTTTTAAGTTTTTTCATTTTTTTTTTAAAAATTCTTTTTTAAATTTTTTTTTTTCTTTCTTTTTTTTTTTTTCTTTCTTTCAAAATCTTTTTTTTTTTTTTTTTTTTGTTCATTTTATTTTTTTTCAATTTTTAAACATTTTTTCTTTCTTTTGTTTAAAATTTCTTTCTTTTTCAAAAAAAAATTTTTTTTTTTTTTTTTTTTTTTTTTAAATTTATTTTTTTAATATTTTTAAATTTTTTCTTTTCTTTTTTTCTTTTTTCATTCTTTTTTTTTTTTTTTTTTTTTTCTTTCAATTTTTTTCTTTCTTTTTTAAATTAAAAATTTCTTTTTTTTTTTTTTTTTATTTCTTTCTTTATTTTTTCTTTCTTTTTTTTTTTCTTTTTTTTTTTTCACTTTTTAAAAAATCCTCATTCTTTTTTTTTTTTTTAAAATTTTTATTTATGTATTTTTTTTGTTTTTTCTTTTTTGTTTTTTTTTAATTTTTTTGTCCTTTTTTTTTTTTTTTTTTTTTAAAATTTTTTCTTTTCTTTCTTCAATTTTTAAATTCATTTTTAAAATTTTTTTTGGTTTTTTTTTTATTTTTATCCTTTTATTTTCCTTTTATATTTCCTTCTTTTTTTTATTTTTTAATTTATAAAATTTATTTTCATTAGAAAATAATATTTGAATATTTTAAAAAAAAATTTTTTTAACTCTTCAATTTGATTTTGGCTTTTAAAATCATTTTCAAAAAGCATCATCGAGAATAAAATTTATTTTCTCAAATCACGTTATAGTTCTCGTTCAAAATAATTTGTATATTTTTTTAAATTTTTTTATTTTTTTTTTCTTTTTTATAATTTTCCTTTTCCGTTCGTTTTTTTTTTTTTTTTTCATTTGATTTTTCATACTTTTCAAAATTTTTTTTTTTTTTTTTTTTTTTTTTTTTTTTTTTCTTTTTTTTTTTCAATTTTTTTTTTTTTTTTTTTTTATTTCTTTCTTTCATTTTTTTTTTTTTTTTTTTTTTTTTTTTTTTTTTTTTTTCTTTGACATTTTCTTTTTCTTATTTTTTCATTTTTTCTTTCTTTTTTTAAATAAAATTTTTTTCATCTAAAAATATTCGGATATTCAGTTGAATAACGTTTGAGGTTTTAATTGACTTTGTCGGATTAAAAAAATTCATTAATTGTTTAGAAATTTTTTTTTTTTTTTAATTTGTTAATTTTTTTAAATATTTAAAAATTTTTAAAATTTAAATAATTTTTATTATATTTAAATTTAATAAAATAATATTATTTATTTAATAAATTATAAATTCAAAATTCAATAATTTTCTTTTTCAAATTTGTTTTCTACATAAGTTTTTTTTATTTTTTTTTATTTGAACTATTTTTTTTTGGTTAAAAAAGCAAAATAAAATTTTTTATATAGGATTTAAGGGGTTAATTTTAATAGTTTTGGAGGATTTCAATAAAATCAATTGAAAAATTGAGGAAATTTTTTCAATGGATAAATCATATTTTAAATGAAATCTTACATTTTTTTTTAATTTGGAAATTTATAAAGCTATCAGGGAAACAGGGAAAAGGGATCTTTCCATCAAAAAATTTTTAGATTTTCATATTGGAAATTTTTTTGATTGATTTACATTTAACATTTTCAAAAGTTTTTTTTAAATGAAATGAATTTTTTTATTCGTGAATCCATTGAATTTTTGTTTAAATTTTTTAATATAAATAATTGATTTTTTTTTTAAATGACTTCATATTGTTTTATAAAAAAGGCGATTTTTCGTCTGTGAAGAGCGACTGTATAGAACGAATGAAATGATTAATATAAAAATTTCTTACATTTGTTTATCCGTCTCTGGATCTTATTTATTTTGAGGTAAGATTTTTTTAAACCATATTGGGTGACAGCAATTTTTTTATGTTAATAAATGAATGGGTTGATTTGTAGATTTGAAGGATCGATTCCGGGAGAAAAATTTCCTGGCGCGGCATTTTTTGAATTATTTTCTTACCTTCAATTTTCATATGAAGCAAATGACTTAATGTATAAATTTACATTTTGAATTTTTGAGCAAAAAAAAAATTTAATTTCGAAAAGTTGAACGTCAGACATTCTTTTTAATTTTTGCACCAAAATTTATTTGTGGTGATTAATACAGAGTAGAATTGTTTTGGATTTTAAAAAAAAACCATATAAATTCCTGAAAAAGCAATTTCATTAACCGATTGGATCGAGTCCTTTTCGAGACGTATAAAATATTTCAATTTTTTGTCTTCTAATTAATTTGTCTTTGAAAATGCAGGAATAATTTTATTTCATCCCCGTAGATGCCTAAATTGGAATCAATGGCGTCCGGAAGATAAATTTTTGATGAATATAAAAAAACAGAAATTAGGGCCTAGGATGGATTTTTATTTTTTACATCATTGTCCAGATCTTTGTTGCTGTTTTGTTATTACAACGTTTCGTCCATTGTGCCGTATCTACAGGGAATTCTGAACTGAACCCTTTATTTAATTATTTTATAGATTATTCTCATTCCAGGGAAAAGGTCTAGTTTTTATATTTATTTAGTACTGTTCCCTTATTGCTCGCCTGTTTCTACTGAGTGCAAGTCCACAGACCACTGCTTTTATTCATCAAGTCATTGCCCCGTAGGACAATTGATTGTAAAAAAATAAAAAAATTTAAACTGGAATGCTGATTAAAAGATTTTAAAATTTTTTTGAAAGAATGTTTTTCCGAACCTGCTGCTTCGGTTTTCTTTTCTTTTTTTTTTATTAGCAATTCCCATATCGTATTTATTTCAACGCTAAGTCTTCTAAGGGCATCCTCATAGCATAATATAGGCGCTGATAATCTAAAACATTTTATTTTTTATTGTCCAATATTTTCATTTTTTTTTTTGACAGGGGCTGATGATTATCCATTTCTACATAGAAATTCACATCATATCTTTAAATAAAATATTTTTGAAGAAATGCTTATTTGACAATGTTTTCGTTCAATTAACCTGTCTATTTCTTTGTTAAGTTAAGTTATTTAAATTGTAAGATACTTAGATGACACAGTACTGATAGCAGACACGGAAAAGAAATTACAAAAAATCCTACAGAAGGTAGCAAATATGAGAGAGAAGAAGGGACTAAGCATAAACTACAAGAAGACAGAATGCATGGTCATCAGTAAAAGGATGAGCCCAAAATGCGATTTGATGGTCGGGAACACTAGAATCAAGCAGACGCGTAAGTTTAAATATCTGGGAAGCGTCTTGACAGAGGACGGTAAATGCGACACTGAGATCCGTAAGCGTTGTGGGATGGGCAAGGACACATTCCAAACACTGAGGAGAGTATTGCGAGACAGTAGGATTTGTTTGGTAACAAAGAAAAGAATACTGAGCTGTTACGTGACATCTGTTCTCCTTTACGGCAGCGAATGTTGGACGATTTCCTCAAAGATGAAGAAGAGACTCGAGGCGACAGAGATGTGGTTCTACAGAAGGATGCTAAGGATATCATGAACCGAGCGTGTGAGCAACGATGAGGTCTTAGAGAGGATGCAAACAAGGAGGAGGCTTATACTTAACATCAGGAAGAGGCAGCTGAAGTTTCTGGGACACATAATGAGGAAGGAGGGCTTGGAGAATCTGATACTCACGGGTCGAATAGAGGGAAAGAGAGACAGGGGAAAACAACGCATGACATACCTAGCGGGCTTAAGTAAGTGGATGACAGAACGTGGTCTGGAGGAGAAAGCAGAGGGAAGGAACTTGTTGAGAGCTGCAAGGGATAGAGGGAGGGAACTTGTTGAGAGCCATGATCGGAGAGGGGTGGTGGCCTGAAAAAGGAGGAACTTGTTGTGAGCTAAAAAAAAAAGATTCATTGGATAAATGGTGGGAGGGAAATTGAGAGCTGCAATTTATATAATGAATATGGAAAAAGAAGAGGGAGGAGGGAAGGTGTTGAGAGCTGCAAGGGGAGAGAGGAAGATGGAAGAAAAAAGAGAGAGGGAACTTGTTGAGAGATGCAAGGGAGAGAGGGATGGGGGGAGAATTTTTAGGGAGGGAATTTTCATTAAACAAGGAGAGAGGGGAGACTAATAAATTTATCTAATTTCAGAGGGAGGGAACTTTTCAGAGAGATGCAAACGAGAAGAGGTGGTTTTTAAAGCAGAGGGTGGAACGTGTTGAGAGCTGCAAGAGAAGGAAAAAGATCCCTTTTTTTTTAAAGGGAGTGATGAAAGGGAGAGAGGTGAAAAAAGGTATTGATTTAAGGAGATGGAGAGAAATATGAAAGAATATGGGAGGGAACTTGTTGAAAAAAAAAGGGAGAGAAACTCATAAGAAAATTCTTTCAACTTGTTGAGAGCTGCAAGGGGAGGGGTGGGATTCTTTAGAAATGCCTTATTTTATTAAACTGACATTATTTCCTAAATAAAAGAATTAAGAACGTTGAGAGCTGAAGTAAGAGAGGAAATGGGGTCTAAGATAAAGGGAATTTGAGAAAAAAGGAGAGAGAGGTATGTGGAGAAAGCAGATTAAACGTGTTGAGAGCTGCAAAAAAGGGATGTGGGGAGAAAGAGAGAGGGAGGGAAATACAAAGAGCTGCAAAACCAGACGGTATGTGGGGGAAAACTAGAAGAGAGAAATTTCTCATTTGAGAGCATTTTCAGGGAGGGAGATTACTGAGGGAAAATTTGGAAAAGAGAGGTTGGGAAAAATTTCAGAGCTGGGCCGGAGGAAAAAAAGGTATGAAATTTCAAAGCAGAATACAGAGGGAACAAAAGATTCAGCTGCATTTTATTAAAGGAAATAAAGGAAAAAATTTGATAAAGTAACAAAATTTTATATGGGGGGAGAAAGTAAGGGAGGAAAAATTTGAAATGCAAGGGAGGGAGGGTGATGGGCGGATCAAGCAGAGGGAGGGAACTTGTTGAGAGCCTTATAAGGAAGAGATCAATGGGGAGAAATTTGGGAGGGAACTTTGTGAGAGCTGCCAGGGGAGAAGGATGGGGGTGAGAAATTGGTGTAGAAAATGTTGAGAGCTGAAAGGGAAACTTGTATGACCTTATCGAAAAGAAGAGGGAGGGAACGTGTTGAGATTTTTTGTTTTTATGTGGGGGAGAAAGAATCAGGGTGGGAACGTTTGGAGCTGCAAGGGGAGAGGTATGTGGGAGTCTTGGCAGAGGGGGAACTTTCTGAGAGCTGCCAATGGGATTTTGGGATGTGGGGGAAAAGCAGAGGGAGGGAACTTTCTGAGAGCTGCAAGGGAGAGAGGGATGTGGGGGGAGAAAGCAGAGTGAGGGAACTTGTTGAGAGCTGCAAAGAACAGAGGGATGTGAAGCGCCATGATCGCCTACACCCTGAAATGTCATGACACATAAAAAGAAAGAATGGTAATATTACCAGTTTCCTTATCAGGAAACAACCGACATTCCTTGATCGAGCAGACCGTGCTGATTTTCATTGAAATCATAAAATCTTTCACGTGAAAGAAATTTTCAAGAAAATAGCTTTCTCAAAACCTATTGTTGTTCATCGCACTTTCCAGTATTGACGGGAATTTCCATCCTAACCTTTTGTTCGTGTGGAAGTTCAACATTCTGATTATATCATTAGTTTCTCTTCGATTGACTTGTGCTATCCATTTTAGTTGTTACAACTGTTGTAAATCCACAAGTGATGTGGTTTCTGTTATCCGGTACTTTTCTTTGTGGTCGTGTAGCGCCAGTCAACATTGTCCACAGAAGGATGGTTATCGCTAAGAACCAGAGGATCTTAGAAAGCGGCTGTACATAGTTGACAGTTTAGATATATCTGACTGGGTTTGGTGTCATGCATGACGTCCTTATAAAAGTCTCGAACTGACGAAGCTATTTAAGAACTCCAGCTTTTATGTAAATGTTTTGGTTATGTAGGAATTTTTTTTTATTGCGCGACACTATCTCTCGCGCGTTTTATTGCATTTCAATTTTTTGACGGTCAAGGCTGACTGAAAAGCAAGAGACTGGAAAAACGTTCCACAGGCGAGAAGTGCAAATGAAGAAACTGTTAGCATAGGACTTACGGCCAAATCAATTCTTATCATCTGTCTTCCTAATTCGTGTTCTTTAATTGTTCTCTATCCTTAATAATGTTTTCTTTTCTTCATATTCTTTCAGAACTCAGTAACTATTTATTATGTATATATATATATATTGGTTTGTTTTCTTCTCTTCTTCCAAAAAACACCCTGTCTTGGCCGCATGTCGAAAGATCAGTACACCCACGCATACCCGATCTATAACATCGAATAACCCAAGTGAAGTCTTGATTAGTTCCTGTTTACTGGGGGGAAACTATATAATGCACGTCCTAAAGCTTGTAGCAAATTTTATTCTGGGTGCGAGCCGAATACTGATCATATTCGGTCGGGTCGCCCATCGAAGAAGTCTGTTGCTTATTTAGACCCGAAACTTCTAGTGACAGGGGAGCAACAACACTGACGACGCATATAGATTCGGTACTTAAAGGTGTGTTTTTAATAATTTGCGTGTTGATGGTCTTATTAAATTGCTTGTGGTGTAATGATTAAAAACACATCTATGTATTTAAACTGTACAATGATGAGACCTAATTTTCAATCTAGTTTAATTTCGTGAAGACGAGGCACCAAAGTGGAAAGAGCATCCAAACGTTTTCCATGAAAATATTTATAGAAAAAGCACAGGGAATCTAGGTAATGACGGTGGGAAAATGAGTGAACCCGAGGTGCCAGATCAGGACAAATATCATTGCAGTTTTTTTTCCCATAGTTGGGACCCTAACAGATGTTACCCCCTCGAGTCAGGACGGACCTGGGAAAAACAGCAATTCAGAGGTGGTTCCACGCTCCGCAAAAACTCCAATTTCTTGCTGCTGGATGTAATTTATCGTCATACTAAAGGATTGTTGGGTCAGGAAAAGACTATTTATACAAGAAAACTAAACTTATAATTAAAAAGAAAAAAAATAACTATGTAAAATTCTGTGTTTTTAGGCCTGGAAAATATAAGAAGAACTAATAGCTTTTTGCACTTATTATGTTTTTTTTGTTGTTATTATATGCCTAGAGGAGTAGTTTATGTTACTTTCTTTATTTAAGTTCGGCAAATACGACGCTCAGGAACTAAACAAACGAGATGGTTATTAAAAGAGGGTGAGATATGAATGCTAGAATAGGTACATAGGTTCGTCTATCGCCCGGTTCAAACACCTTCCGCATCTTTAAAAAAAAAAGAAAAAAAAAAAAGAGTAGAGATTTACACCTTGTTTCCTGTTTAAGATTAGGTTTCCGGCTCTTTTGTCAAAAGTTTTCTAATTTTCTTTTAATTCCAGTATCCCCCTTCCGCCTTTCTTGAGGTGAAATGATTTTACAATTTTTTTAAAAAAGTTTTGTCACTTTGTCTCCTTCCACAATCCAAGCCGATATCCATTATTCCGCCGTGCCTCATATGAGACCAATATAAAAAAAGAATCTGCGATGCTATTGGTCCTGACCTGGCTTCGCGGTTTCAGTGTTTTTTCTAACGTCGTAAGGTACCTACCTGTAACGGCATTCACCCGAGGTGGGTTGAGAAATATTGGATTTTCTTGGGAATTTGGAATTCACAAGAGGTCCCCAACCGCATGTATAGAACATGAGATTTTATTATAGTGGAGGACCATCCACACTTTTTGCTACGTGCTACAAGGTCCCCAAACGATCCTTCTCCTAGACCAGTTGCCATCCAAGGCTATAGAACTCAGTCTGTCCTGCTATTTTACCCATAGCTGGAGGGAGAAGAGGATTCACACCTTTAGCACGTAAGTGAATGTAATGGATTCGACTGGAATTCGAACTCGGCTCTCCGATTCCTCAATCCAAGCCGCTATCCACTACTCCACCGTGCCTCCTCGTAAGGTAGCATCCATGTGCTTTTTTTTTTTTAAATAAATACCTTCGTGGTGAAATTAAAAGAAAAGGCTACATTTGTTGTAGTTTTGAGATATTTGACTTCAAAGTTCAGCTAACCGTGATGTTTTCCATAAATTGAAAAAAAATTCGGAGGATTAAATGAATATTTTTATATAAAACTTAGGGGGATCATTTAGGGCGTGGCAGAGAGATCCTACCACGAGTCATATCTAAAAGAAAACGAAATTCCTGAGAACGAACTAACAATAAGATGAATCATATACTTGTCAAAAATTAATAATTGTTTAGAATTGGTTCATAACTGAAAATGTTTTCTGTGAATTTCATGTCGGTTAATTAAGGTCTAGTCGTACAATTTAAGTACAGCCATTTTGTTTTCTTACTCAAGATATATAACAAAAAATTTCAAATAAAAAATTAACGAAGGAAGAAAAATGGCCGACATTGTAGACTTGTCAAATTGTGGTCGATCAAAAAATAAAAATGATACAAAATGAAATAAAAAAAAAAAACTACGAAAGATAACCAACTTGTTATCATGTTTGAAAAATAAGATAACTTTTAATTTAAATACAATTTGCAAAATATGCTAATTATCTATTTTCTCGCACATCGTACGCCATCTTAGTTTTTCTCCGTGTTCGGACACTCATGAAAATTAAAAAGCAAAAAAACAAAATATCAACTGGATCTTAGTTTAGCAATGAATAAATTGACAAAATATAGACCGAAGGAAATAGAATGTATTATTAGGAAAGAAAAGTATATTTTATCTGCAGAAGTTAACGACCTTAAGATAAAAACGTGAATTTGTTTCGTGATATCTAAGAGCTGAATATATTCAAATAATAATAATAATACACAGACGCGCGCAAACACACACACACACATATATATATATATATATATATATATATATATATATATACGTTTTGAACAATAAAAAATATTTAAAAAAAATAAATTTTCAGACACGTTCGTATGTTAATATTTTTTATTTCATTTATGTTCCTTGACTAGTTTCGATCAACAGGGCCATCATCAGGAGAAAAACTCCCTGCTTGTTAGTAGCAGTGAACTAAAAGAGTGTATGACTGTCTCTGAAGAAAGTGAACTTTATCTGTTGTTTCCATTTGTTTTGTTTTTTTATCGTTAATTCTGGTCAGTCCTGGTTTTTAAGGCAGAGGAAGGCAGTTTCGGACTAATAATTCCTCCTTGGTCATTTTGACAGTTTTATTGGTTGCTGGAATGCGATATATATATATATATATATATATATATATATATATATATATATATATATATACGTATTCGACGTATGAGGGTCAAGCATCTCAGTTCCTAGGAACAGGCAGCCCAACACCACCAGCACATGCGATTTTAATATAGTGGTTTTAATTTTAATATAGGTTTTGTGCCGAACCATCCACACTTTTTGGAGGGCCGAATATAGAGATCTGGTACTCCGCAGGTTTTCAATTAAGAGTTGTCCTTCTCCTAGACCAGTTGCCATCCAAGGCTATAGAACACAGTCTGTCTTCCTATTTACCCATAGCTGGAGTGAGAAGAACAGTGAATATATCGACTCGGACTGAGGAATAGGAGAGCCAGTCAAATTACAGTCAAATCCATTATATATATATATATATATATATATATATATATATATATATATATATATATATATACATGAATTATTCATACAAAACTAATGCAAAGGTTAATGATTTAAATGGCAAGACATCCATCTTGCAAACGATTCAAATAGTACAAAAACCTCTAAATCCGTTATGCATATATTTTCGATGTCCTCTTATTACTAAGAGAAAAAACCAAGAACAACATCTATTATATACCTGACGATGTCTGTAGGAACAGACGAAAGCTTGTAGTAAAAATAACAACTAATACGGCAGAAATTTATATAAACAAGGATCAACCCATGCATAACGGATTTAGAGGTTTTTGTGTACTATTTGAATCGTTTGCAAGATGGATGTCTTGCCATTTAAATCATTAACCTTTGCATTAGTTTTGTATGAATAATTCATGTATTTGTAAATTGATTGCACGTTTATTGTAATATATATATATATATATATATATATATCCAGGATAGCAATATAAAGAAGAAACTGTGATGTTATTGGTCATGACCTTGCACATTGGTTTCAGTCACTTAAGTTAGTTTCTTTTGCGGTAACGCTTCTAACGAACTTTCCATTATGGTATTTCTTTTTCTTTTTTGTAAGCTGTCATCTTTATCACCACCCCCAGAAATTACCACATATGGGAATTAATTAGGACTTTCTAGAGACTCCGTGGTATTATGGTGTCTGCAGCAGGAATGGTAAATAAGAATATATTGTTTTGGTGTAAGGAATAACGTGGTATGTTGGGTCAGTATTCGTGGCTAGTTAAGTTTAAGGTAAGACCAGCTTTCACCTATCCCTACTTTTGACCTTGTGATATTTTTTTAAAAAAATAAATATTACTATCCGTTCTGTTATTTTTTTTTTTATCGAGCAAAAGACATAGCCACAGGGCTAAAGAATACTGAAGACATGTTAACGAATGGTGAAGGGACATTTTTCCCTTTTTTCCAGAGGTAGGGGGGGACGATTTCCAACTACACAAACAAGTTATCAGTTAGGTTAGAACAAGTATTAATGTTAAATTAGTCGGAGTGATCAAGCAACAATAGCTGAATAAAATAAATACGTAAAACGTATATATATATATATATATATATATATATATATATATATATATATATATATATAGAAAGAGAGAGAGAGAGAGAGATATGCTATCGGATGCGTCTTTGGTAGAATGAATTTATACTCACACATGGCGGAAAGTTATTCTTCGTGTCGATTCGGTGGGACCAGTAATTGTACGGCTAGCCATGTCTCAGACCCAAGCGTCAAGTTACAGATAACGCAGTGCTGGGGGGGGGGCGGTCAGTGACCATTCCTACCCTACTTTATGAAAATGCGCAGTACTAGATTGGCAGCTAGGTCTCATCAATTTACCGATGAATTGGCTAGAGATAACCATTAATTCTATGCTAATATTTCTCAATACTCGCTTGTCGAATTTTTTTATCCGGCTTCATGCTTTCCAGTCTAATTTGATCTTCAAAAAAATAAATGCAATGTCAATCGTTATTTATTGTCTTCTTAATTTCTACTATTTTATAGTTATCACTCTTTTTGTTTTTTTCTTATTCTTTCACACTCAGTAACTCTTTGTGTCTTAGTGGCTTTACTTCATTGCTTGGGGTGAAATGATTAAAAACAAATCATTCTGTCGCCTTGGTCACGTGTCTTCTACAGAGCGATTATATTGAATCAATTGATAGGTCTGATGCTAAAAAGGTTGTTTCACTGCAACGTCTCAAACAATTTTTGCTCATTGGAATCCATTTTTGCACATATACAAATCCACCATTGGTCCGTGCATTGAATATGGCTGCGGGTAAAGATGAACTGTAAGGATTATGGCAGCATTCACCAACTTTAACACGAAATTCGTCCAGAAAAGTTTCAAGAGATTTCGAAGTCATCTGGAGGCCGTGGTTGAAACCAATGACTATTTTATCGAATTAATTTATTCTTTTCTATTTCGAGATATCTTTGTTTAATTTTGGTAAATAAATCTGTTAAAATGAGATGTGAGAGTTACTTTTATTTCTGCGTAATTTAGACGACAATTTGTCAATCACCAACTTTGTCATACACACACACAAACATATGCGTATCTAAAACAACGGTCACCTGCGTAAATGCGAAGCTCTTCAGTAAAATAAATGGAGCACTATGGCTGACTGGCGTTTGTTTTCGTTTGTAAAAGCAATACGCTAGATTTGGCTAACTCGTTCTGTCGAGTGCAGATGGCTTAGTGGTAGAAACTCTGACTGACGCCAAGTAGGATTGAGGAACTGTGATACAGCGAAACAGTACTGTCTGTGAATTATATATATATATATATATATATATATATATATATATATATATATATATTATGTCGTGCAATTTAATTTATATTACAATGAAAATCCAGACAAGAAGTAAATTAGTAAAGTTAATGAGAGAAAATGGCGAATTCATTTCGATAACTAAATTTTAAAAAATGCATTAACCCTCTAACCACTTGGTGAATGTTATGATACTTGTCTTTTAAAATTATAAACTGGTCTTTCTTCCTTAAATATGCAAGTACTTTCGACAGGTTCTCCGGTCATCATCAGGCATATAAACAATTTCGACGTTTTTTTTTTTTTACCAACTCATCAGGCATGAAATCTAATTTGATTTACCCACCTCTCTCTCTCTCTCTCTCTCTCTCTCTCTCTCTCTATATATATATATATATATATATATATATATATATATATATATATATAAAGGGTACATTATATATTCAGAAGGAAAATTCTCGATGGTGCGACTATGGAATTTTATCAAAATATATATCTACTACTCGGAATCTGTCTCACCTTTCCCGAAAGAATTGCTACTTCCCTAAGCCTACATACACGACCTCAAAAATGTTAAAAAAATCAAAAGAAAATAGTTAAATCCAGGACCTCGTGTTTTTGAAAATGTGCAGCCCATACGTCCATCAAAAACCATATCAATCTGATCAAAATTTTAAACAATATTCATTTATTAAAAAAAAAATGATTGTATATTATTCGCTTAATTTTGTCTTACCAGCATTTGAATTATGGCACTTTGCGTCCTCCATATGTGTTGACTGACCTTTCAAGCACTTGACGATTGTTCATAAAAGTTCACAAATTTAAAACTCTTGAAAATTCACTAACATTCTTGCTTTTGTATATAAACACGCGCTACAAAATAAATCTTTATATTTGCTTTGAAAATGTTCCTCAGAGGACGAAGCGCATTAGCTAAGAATTGTTTTTCTTTTGTATTTTTATTCCTATATATATATATATATATAAATATATATATATATACATATATATATACACATTTTTTTCAGAAAAAAAAAATTACTAATGTTCCCGTTCATGAAACGATTGACATCATTATCCGTGATGTATACAATCATCCTTCTCTCCCACCTCTCAATATGAAACCGACTATTTAAAAAAAATAAGTATTAGCATGTACCACTCATGGCTCCCTAGGTAATATTTATACTCAAATAGGCGGTATTGCGATGGGATCTCCTTTAGGCCCCCTTTTTTCTAATACATAATTATATGGCACATTTAGTAATATATATATATATATATATATATATATATATATATATATATAAAGGCAAATTTTGTTGAATAATTTATACCAGTTTATACCAGTTTTGTGTACTTATTTTCAATATGATCTGTTTATATTATCAGATGATCTTTTTGGTGTCGGTATTAAAAAGATAGAAAATGACTATGTTGATACGTATATGTATTCTGAG